AGAAAATTATACGATTTTAAGGAGCATAAAACTTCTTCAAAGTCAAATTTAGCTTGTAAATTTCACTGCTGACATGTAGCCTCATCCATCCAGCCATGCTATAGAGTTTCTACCTAGCAAACCCAGCAGTCAAATTCTTTCTAAAACACAGTAAACAGTTAACAAATCCATGTTTAAATCCCTCTCTTGAGGCCGTCAAAAGGTTATCAGACACTTACTCTTCGGCACAGTCAGTGGGAAAGCCAACATTTCATGGTCCTGTTCAATAAAAGCATAAAAATGCTAGGTCACCACTGAAACAAAAAAGTTTCCAATCGCTCCGTCACACCTGATGCCTCAGAAAATGTCTAAATCTTGCCCTTGCCCCATTGACCTCTTGACCTGTGACCTCCAATTCGGCACAGTGCATGGCTTTGCCTACATGATGCTATACACCGACTATCCGAGCTAGTCGAGCCCTTTAAGGATTTGTGCCCGCAATTCTTCATTTCCTCCCTATACCTTTAAGTTTAAGGACGGGAATGTTCCCCTTCTTTTACACATTTGACCTTGGACCTTTTGACCCCAGCCTTCGACATTCCCAACTCGTTTTTTGACGATTCCCCCCGCATGTGCCGAAATATCGCTGACCGCTACGTGCGACGCGGTTAAGATTTGGCCCCAAACTGTTGCACGGACGGACGCCGGACGCCTCGGACGGCAACGGCACGGACGATCATGCGATTCTACAATCCTGGCAATCTGGACTATGTCGATGAGCTAAAAATACTCACACTTGTTACTGCCGCTTACACCAACATACACTTTATTCATATTTAAATATACTACAGATCATGCTCCTATGCTGCCGCTCGAAACTTTTGCCAGCTCTGATGATGGCGAATTTCAAGAGTAGTCGGATCGTTTCAACAAAATGGCCGACCGTCGACACATAGCTACGCCACTAGTGGAATGGCACATATTACACCACAAGACCATATTTACTTCTAAGGCTTTCTAGACTCCTTTGAGGCTATCTAACTTGCGTGCATATGCAAATATTGCCTCTAGTGCCGAATTTCTGCCTGGAAAAAAGAGCTAAAAAGGCAGTTTTCTAGAACGATATTATAGGTGCGCCGGTGAACAGATTGCTGAGGCCTTACTTTGTATTGCCTCCTATAGCAAACAACTATTTGCAAGACAGAATCGGATAAGCACTCTCATTTACTACGCAAGCCTGCAGGCTGAACTAGAGAGGTGCCCCGTGTAAACTAATTAGAGCAGGCAAAACGCACCGTACTATCACACACACTGCACTTGGCAGTGGCATAAGTAACCATGACAGTACGAGAATGCCATAGGAAAGAATTAATACCGATTTACAGGAGCATAGACTGTTCTTCAACCAAATTTAGCTTTTGAAATTTCACTGTGACATTGAGTAGCCTCATACATCCAGCATGTATAGATTCTACTAGCAAACCCGGCGCTCAAATTCTTTCTAACAGTAAACAAATCCATGTTTAACCCCTCTGAGGCGTCAAAGGTTTATCCGACACTTAGGCCCGGTCGATCCACACACGCCGGCACGACAGACACAGCTAAAACGCAGCGCCGTTCTGCTGAAAAAAAATACATTGTGATTCTCGCGCACTTGTGTCTGAGCGCATTGTGTATCACTCTGGCTCAGTGATCAGAAAGATTATGCAGGACATGTGCTTGCTTGCCATGGACTTGATGAGTTAGCGTGAGCAGAACACGTTGATAAAAAACAATCGCGTTGATTGGTTCCAATTGTCTTTTTCGCCGTCACGTCAGCCGGCAAAAGTCAAACTCATTGACTTTCGGCCGTCGCCTGAAACCGGCTGCGCCGTTCCGTGTCAGTGGTAGACTGCGCCATAAAGATATAATAATTTGAACTTTGCCGGTAGGGATTTCTGCCGTGACGACGCCGTTGTCCGTGGCGCTTCCGCGCCGCTGGGTGTGTGGAGACGGGCCTTTACTCTTCGCATGTCAGCAGAAAGTACATTTCATGGTCTTTTCAATGAAAGCCTAAAAATGCTAGGTCACCGACCTGAAACAAAGTAAATTTTCAATATCTCCGCAAACATGTCCTGTCAGAAAATGTCTAAAAATTGCCCTGTGCCCATTGACCTTTGACCTGTGACCTCCAATTTCGGCACAGTGATGGGTTTTCCTACCACGATGCTATACACCGACTATCATGAGCTTAGGTCGAGCCGTTTAGATTTGTGCCGCAATTCTGCATTTCCTCCCTATACCTTAAGTTAAGGAGGGAATGTTCCCCTTTTTTTACACCTCTTGACCTTTGACCTTTGAACCCAGCTTCGACATCCCAACTCGTTTTCGGATTACCCTCCTCCCACGTCCCGAATATCGTGACCGTACGTCGAGCCGTTTAGATTTGTGCCCAACTGTTGACGGACGCACGCACGGCCGGACGGACGCACGCACGCACGCTCATGCGATTCTACAAGCTGCATCTGACTGTGTCAGATGAGCTAAAAATTGGCAATCAACTACAGTTATTTCCCACAAGTAAATGTGTATGCTTCCTTCATTGATAATATCAGGTGTATAAAAACAAAATTGTTTTTATTCGCTCTTTATAATCACTAGTATGTGACTTGCTGCTCAGGAATCCTGTGTAGTTTCATATTATCATTTTAAAGAATAACCATAGCATTCTAGTTAGTACGTGACTTAATGTAGTAATTCTGTGTTTTTCTCTCATATTAATAGGCAGTTCTGTGCTACTGGCTAACATCAAACTTATTCACGTTGTGTCAAGTGGCAGTTTTGCGTATACCGTCTGTAAGGTCCTTCTTCAACATTGAAAAGATCATTCATCTTGACCCTTCAAAGGCACCCCCAAAGAAAGGATTCATCGAAGGCTTCAAGGAATGTAAGATCATCAGCATTTTCTAGTAAAAGGATGTCCAAATTAATTTTTAATGCTATTACATCCAATCAGATTGTCATAAGTTGGATAGTGTAAGACCAACAATCAAATATAACAAGTGTTTCTGTACAAACTATTATTGCTAACTTTCATGGAAAAGTAATAGGTGCTAAAACATGAAGTAAGGGTAATTGCTTCATTAATGCAATAAATTATACCAAAGCATAATTTATTGCAATGAACTATAATATGAGTTTTGACTGAAATACAGACTATTAAATTTTTTCTCGCAGCCTATAGTAATGCACGAATATCAGCTGAAATTAAAGAAAGGAAACAGCGGGACTTGATGAGATTTAAAAAGGCTGGTTCGGGACCTGTTGTGAAAACATATGCAACTGATCCAACAAAGAAGACGATGCCAACGAAAGAAAGGGTTTCTGCAAAAAACAGATAGGCTTACATTTTGTTGCAAGCAGGCAGTAATTTGATCTATCTTAGAACAGATATTGTGAATCCTGTTGACGTTTATGCAAACTAGAAGCCTGTGTGTGCAAAGACCTATCTGACTCTGAGTGAGAGATGATACTAATGATCAATGATACTTTCAGATATAGGAAAATAATTCACACGTACTTGGTGCAAAATGGTGCACTGGTGCTTAAATGCTGTTCATTGATGGGCGTCATCACGCATTTACATATTAATCTTGGATTAGCATGATGCAAACAAAAATGTCATCAGTTACTGCTTTTGTGGCAAGGTGGTCTGCAATGATATAGCTCAAATCTAGTGTTTTCACCTGTAGTTGAATGTTTCTGGTCACTCAGGTAATGTTGTAGGTGTAATATGTAAAATACATGTAAATTATTAAATACTATTACGAAATAGTATTTGTAAGTGAATTTTTGGCAGTCTTTAAGAGTAGTTGGATTTTGGAAAACGTTTTCGATTTTATTGTGATGCTCATTATGGTAGAGATAATGATCAATGCTATCCCAAAATCTTGTATATTGCTTATTCTGTAGTTTCACAGAATACAATGTGGTAATTTGTAATTTTGTTTGACCTGTCCTTGTTTTACTGTTAAAAATAACTTAAGATATACCGGTACCAACAACTTGATAGTTTTAAAGAACAACCGAGTACATGACCACTTTTGTTTTATTTTACACACTTGATTATACATCACAACAGGTAATATAAATCTAGTTTTCATTGAACCTGTACTGTATAAAGTGACATAACCCTTTGAAACTGCCCTTTGTTATACATCAGAACCACACGAACGCTGCTTTTTACAATAAAATTCAAAAGCCCATGATAATTGCGATGACAAAATGATTCGTTTACTATCAAAATATTGATGAAAACCTGCAAACATTACTGTCTGTGTTTAAACAACTTCAGTAGCCCTGATTTACTATATTACTAAAATTGTAATGTACAATAGACTCCTGCAAAATGGCAGTGGGTAAAAAAGAACTATTTGTTATTTGATTATAACCAATGTGCAAAATTTTCTCACCTACAAATCAACAACAAATCTACTAATGATCACAAAGGGTTAGATATGAGGATATTGTGTCTGGCCAACTGACAACTAGCTCTCCAATGTCAAGAAAACATACATAGGAATGCAATATAGAAAATGTATTAATTGACAATTTTGAAAAAAAAAATCAAACTTGGCAATACCGTTTGCACTGATTCTTCCATTTCATTAGGAACAATAAGGCAAGCCATTAGCGATTATAAATGCTATTATTGTATATGGATAGGCAAATATGAAGAGATTGTTCCATTACTGTAAAGAGCCTATCAACTTATACATCACCAATAAAAGCACGATTTTCACAATATGGAACATGGTAAGGCTCATGTTTCAAACCGCTTTGTGCATTTTAGGTGCATAAACAGCTGGTCAAGTCAACTAAAACAATATGTTACATCAGCATCTGCTACAGTTCTATTGAGGAATAGTCTCTCTGGCACACTTTCCTCATAACACCTGCCCCTCTTACGCGAGTTTCAGCCTTTTCTTTGCGATGGCATCTTCCACTGCCTTTAGCTGTTTCAGAAGCTCCTCTCTTCTCGACAGAGAAGACTTCTTCGCTGAGACCTTTGGAGGCGCCTTTTCTACTGCTGCAGGAGGTGAGGCAGGTCTCTTCCTGCTGCTGGCAGAGTTGGCACCGGAGGATACACTCGCTGCAGTATTGCTGTTGCTGATAGTCTGCAACGAGAATGAGAAACAGTTGCTATAGGATGATTATCTATTGTTTTCCCATGCATTCTTGCCTCTACACATTTTGAATAAAATCACTGACACATCAAATGTAATAGCGCACAGATATTCTTCGTAGATTTACTAAACATTGTAAATGAACTTTTAAACTGCAAGTTGGATTGAATAGCCAGCACTCGACAAAACCATCGAACCACTGGACGATGTTGGTAAATTATAGCAAGAGTAGATAATAACACCCGATTCCCGCATTTTTAACCGATTTGCCACCAATAAAGAAGCAAGTGTATACGTTCCTCAGCTTATTATGACCACTAATCACTCACCTTTGTGGTACTGATATTCGTTTACATATATTTGCTAGCGTATTGCTGTAAATCGTAATCTTGCACGAGCTGAATTCGCACAATTTACCGCTAAAATGGCGCTATTGTGTGAGGTGTTAAGACAAATTTTGAAGCTATAGTGGCGCCAATATTTAGCAACGGACTGTTTCCAAATCATTCGTGCCCCGATAGGGGTTTAATGTACTTGATTACCTGCGCGTGCGTAATGTGATACTTACTGCAAACTACTACAGAGAATATTGTTATTATTGTATTATTACTTATGTAAGATAGTATGTCAATTTATTGTGTTGCGATGACAATAACAGCGCGTCTCGCGGTTCCTCACGAGATCAAAATTCGAAATTTAGATTGTCTCTCAACCCTATCGGGGCTTGAATGATTTGGAAACAGTCCGTTGCTAAATATTGGCGCCACTATAGCTTCAAAATTTGTCTTAACACCTCACACAATAGCGCCATTTTAGTGGTAAATTGTGCGAATTCAGCTGGTGCAAGATTACGATTTACAGCAATACGCTAGCAAATATATGTCAACGAATATCAGTACCACGAAGGTGAGTGATTAGTGGTCATAATAAGCTGAGGAACGTATACACTTGCTTCCTTATTGGTGGCAAATTTTGATGAGAAAAATCGGTTAAAAATGCGGGAATCAGGGGGCCGTTGTCAGAAACAAAATTAGTCGCAACATTAGTCTTACCATTAACTTCCACTCGTAAACCGTTGACAGAAACATCGTAAGGTTACGAGAACGAAAAATCCTCGGAAATTTCCTCCTAACATTACGAGAGCCCAGACCCTCTCGTAACCTTAATATTAAGTTGAAAATAACACATTTACACTACGAATTACAATTATAGTGATATTATATTTTATAAATAATAAATAAAATGTGTGTTTTTCTTGAAAAACACGTCAAAATCAATTAATTATCTACCGCTAATAAAACAAAACAATACATTTACAAATGGCGTATGGCATTTGTTCTCTTGTTCTAAAGGTTTTCCACGCTGCCACGATTCTCGCGTCTCCGGCGTTACAGTGTGAGAATTTGTCTTGTTGTGCAGAATAAATTCATGACGGCAGTCGTTTTTCATCAAATATTATTTATATGTAGTTAGCCATCATAATATGCATAAATTACTGTGATGTACAATAAATGTGTATGAATTTGAATTTTGTGATTGATTCTCATCAATCAGCAGCCTTGTGATGAAGTTCCTGTTATCGTAAGTTTTTTAATAGCTGCGATGTGTTTCTGTCAACGCTAGTCTCGCAACATTAGCATTAGTCGTAAGTGTTGTCGTAGCATTAACTTTAGCATTAACTTTACGATGTTTCTGAAACGGGCCCAGGTGTCTCACTCGTGTTATTATCTACTCTTGATTATAGGCAATGTCAGCCAATAGAAGAGTAATGCAAGAACAATACAAGCAGCTTAAAATGAGATTAGATAGGTGTACTGCCAGGAGATTAGAAAAAAAGGACCCACTAGCTGGCACCGGGAGAATAGTAACAGTTTATAAGTTATTACAGATAATTAATAGTTTTGATTCCCATACATTTATTTATGTTATTCTGTTATTGTTTATTATAGGTGATATTACAATTAGCACATGAATTGCCAGAGTGGCGAAACATGTCTACGAATTTGAAGACAATACATATCGATGTAATTTGTTACTAGTAATTGTAGCGGTATAAAGTTTGTGTCTATGTGAAACAGAAAAACCTTGCTAATGGAGTTGTATCCTATGAGTGTGAGTCTCAATGAGTGTACATGCTGTTTCATACCTTACTAGAGTTTTGAGCTCCAGGGCTGCAGTCTTTGTACTCTTTCAGGTTTTGCCGACAGTGCTGCTGCATCAGCTCCATTTGTTGTTGAAAACGCTGCGGAGGCTTTTTAGTGCTTCCTTGGCGTGCTAAAAACATTAGCACCTTGAGATTTTCATAATTACAGCATTAACAGGAACATGCACATGTATGTGGGCACAAGGAGAAATAAGACTAATTTTTCAACAGGTACAATAAACCGTATAATAAAACGTAATGAGGCCCGTCAATGGCAACTAAGACCATTTCGATTATTTTTAAATACCTTTCTCAGCTTTCTCGAAAGCTGATGCTTCAATGCTGTTTCTGACTGGTTTTATGGTCATTTTGACTGGTGGCTTCTCCACTTGAGGAGGAGGAGGTGGCTTTGGAGAAGGCTTTGGAGGTGGCTTCCAACCGTGCTTTCTTTCACTGTTGGCTTTGCTGGTTCTGATGGCTAACAAGAAAAACCGTCTCAACTTTTTACAATTATATACAATAAAGCTCTAAGAGTAAAAACAGCAACGTTTGGTGGTGTTAATTGCTATGTGTGTTAAAGGCGCAAACACTCGCAAATACGCACGCACTGCACGCAGCCACACAATTTAGTTCTCTACCTTGTTGCAAGATTAAGCTTGATTGCTTGTGCGAAATTGCAAAGCTTTTCTTTTGGCTCATCAACTGTGACGTTGTAACGGCAGATTTGACCTGTTTGCTGCTCAGACTTTCATCTGCCCTCTTTCCTGCACACACAAAGACATATAGATAAAGGCCATACTCAAACCTATAAACATAATAAAGTGACAGTGACAGTGATCATGTTTAGCACCCGTCATTATAACAGCGGAATGAGCTTTCATTTTATTAATTTTACTGACACTGATCAGGTCAAACGTGCAAACAAATGATATATGTAAAATATTCACATGGCTTTGGTACACAGAATAACACCAGATGGCATTACAGTATATACACCCTACTGTACCTCAAACACAAGTACACGAGTATGCTGTTGAAGAAGTGCTCAATCCTGTACAACACCGCCAGCAGTAAAGGGCGCATATGAGCCTGCTGGAAGATTTGTGCAGAGTTGGTGTGGACTTACTCTCATACGCAGAGTCGGAGCTGGACTGCTGCTGGCGTGAGCTAGCAGAGCTGCTGCTGCTGCCACTGCTGCTTGATCGGCTGCGACTACGGCTTGACGAGCTGCTGCTGAAGCTACCGCTGCGCCTTCTATGTCTTTCAGGCTAGCACTGAAACACCACACAAGCATTTGTTGTCAAGTGCTGCTTGTATAGCATTGGGAATTGTTATAGAATCCAGGTTAGACTATGCAGCTCTGAGAGCGACTGCTTGCTAAATTTCACTCCAAGCTTTAAATCTTATATATGTGTAACTCATAATATCATATATTTTAAACATACTGAAAAGCTCATAAATGGGTTCATCATGCACTCCCAGCTGTAAGTCCAGGAAAACGGACAGCTCAAAACACACGTTATTCTTAAACTGTACATGCTTTTGGCTTCAGAATTACTGCACATACACCCAAGTATAATGTAACTTACTTCAATTGATGATCAATGTTCTTGTAAATAGGAACTAGAACTTATAAAAGATGTGTATAATAGGGATGACTGACTATGTGATACAACACTCGAGTTATGACAACAAGAGCCGCAGAGCGACTGGGCTCATCTGAGGTCTGTTGCTACGGTTATAAACGTAACATTTAAGTCGTGCGTAGTGACACCTTTGTTAGGCGCAGATATGCAGATACGCAGTTGCGTACACATCATTTCAGCAACCTTCTGCATTCTGCATACCTCCCAAATCCCATTGTTGATACAAATCGCTGTGCCTGAACTCCTGTTTTATGGTGCAATGACAATGTGAGCCTAACCCTAACCTTAACCCTATTAAAAAAATAAATATTTGTTGTTATTAAATTGTTGTAAATAAATCATGTAAATATTTGCGTTAATTTGAAAAAAATAGTTAAATGGATAAAGATAGAAAAATACAGAAAACAGGTAAATAATAAATGAAAGTGTCAATGACACTGTAGCTCACCACAAAAAAGGACACAAATGAGTGAGTGAGAAGAAGTCAGTTTTAATGAGCAACCATCGCGTACATTATAGAAACGAAGAGTATATATGGGAGAACTCCCATTATATACTCTTGATAATTATATGTGTAATTTTTTATGTGAAAATAATAAATAATATTATATATAAATTATAAATAATTTATAAACCAAAATGAATCAAAATTTGTGACGGTAGATGGCGCTATACCCGCCTTGATGTTTCTTAGCATAAATCATTATATCATAATAATATAATAATAATAGTATAAACCATGTTCATAGCAGGAATTTTGCATTAAAGGCATAATAGGCCCATTGATTATGCAAAGTTGACGAATGCTACAGTAACTGGCACCTTCTGTAGTTAATAAGTACATTACCTTATAGCCAAACGCGTATTAGTTTGTCCAATATCACTGCTAATTACTAAGAAATGTCTAATTGAAATCCGTAAATCTGGTAATCTGGCGCCAACGCTAAATTGGTTGGCAAGCAAAATAGCCTCGAATTCGGCTAGGTGACTACGGGTGTTTAGCAGAGAATTGTTTGTCCCAGGATGCTTATATACGACTAATGAGCTAGTAGAGATGTATCTCTGGTGTATTCTCGGTATTGAGGCACAAGTAAATAACCGTGGGTGCTAATGAACGGGTACCCACATGTCTTCAATTTCGGACACAGGTGTATTCGTTTGACCAATATACGTAAATACGCGCAGTGCCGTCTGCTTTCCATGTTAGTCTGTGGCCGTGGTTAGTCCGCGATCCTCCATAGTGTTGGCCCCCAACACAGCCTACTTCATTATCACGAGCGTCCGTGATCGTATGTGGATTCCACGTTCATTGCAATCGGAGCTACTGTTACGTATACAGTTAGCGTACTGTACTATCGCTAGCATTGCGTACGGCCGAGCGAAAATGCATGCGTGCGTGCGTTTTTGCATGCGTGCGAAAATGTCCGCGTGCACTATAAATCTGTATCACACCCGTTTCGCCAGTATGCGTTTCAAAACTGTAAAACGTCAGTCAACTGATTTCTTGGACTGCGGATTTCAATTAGACATTTCTTAGTAACCAGCAGTGATATTCGACAAACTAATACGCGTTTGGCTATAAGGTATGTACTTATTAACTACACAAGGTGCCAGTTACTCTAGCATTCGTAAAAATTGCATAATCGATGGGCCTATTATTCTTAAAAGATATTGTCAATGAAATCTTGTAAATCGACCAGACGAATGTGACACCACAGACTGTTTGTTATCTGCGTGTCTATATATAATATGCTATATAATTGCCAAACCTTATTTACCTAATTTGCATAATTTTTTTTTAAATATCAAAACCTCTACCCCTTATTCATTCACATACCAAAAATGAGCAAAATCCATTGAACCTGAACTAACTAATGGCAATTCCCATTTTTGCCAAAAAATGCCGTGGCTCGAAAGTACGTCGACTGGCGTGCTCCAAAATAGGACGTTTAATATGGGAGCATAGCAGTAACAACTATACCCAATTTTAAACATGTGGGTCAAACGGTTCCTGAGTTATTGTTGACGCCTAGCCAAATGTTGACGGACGGACGGACGAACGAACAATGGCAATAGCTCAGCTTGACGATGTCAAGGTGAGCTAAAAATCAGATGGGATTCGATCCAACGACCTTTGAGCCGTGATGCCTGTGCTGTGCGTTCGGGCTATCCAGGCTTATTGGGTTTCTAGATTATGGATGTGCCATGAATATGACAACACACTGTGATGTCAATGAGGCAGTTCAGGAATCCATGTTTAACCCTCCTCTTGAGGGTCAAAAGGTTATCAGACACTTGCTCTTTGCACGTCAGTGGAAAGCACATTTCATGGTCCTTTCAATAAAATGATAAATGGTAGGTCAACGCTGAAACAAGAAAGTTTTCCACTCTGTCCGTTAGGCCATGTCCTCAGAAGCGAAAATGTCTGATATCTGACCTTTCCCCATGGCGCCTTTGACCTGTGACCTCATTCGCACTGGTGGGGTTCCTGCCCATCACACTATACACCGAATATTAAGAGCATAGGTCGAGCCGTTAAGATTTGTGCGCCGCAATTCCGTATTTCCTGCTATACTTTTCACGATCCCCCCCCCCGACGTCCCGAATATCGTGGCCATACGTCGAGCAGTTCAGATTTGTGCCCAACTGTTGACTGACGGACGCACGCATGCACGCACCGACGATCATGCGATTCTACAAGCTGCATCTGACTACGTCAGATGAGCTAAAAATGGTCATGCATTGACATGCCCACTTCACCTATACCACACTTCCTAACACACCAGAGACGGCAGGTTCCAGAGTGTCATTTGTTTTTTGTGTTCAAGTGAATGTTGAAGGCACGCATATACTCACGGCTCATGTCGAGTCCTTCCACGCTCATCCCTGTAGTTGCGCGGGACCTCACGCTCGCCCTGTGGATCCCTAGCAGCTTCCGGGTCAGGGCGCACTACAGCACTGGCTGGGGCCGATAACATCCTGCAATAGCACATCACCATGGAGTGAAAGTTAGAATGTAAACATTCACTCATGCACAGCAAGGCAGTAAATGCTACTGTCAATTATGCACTATATGGTGTATACAGGCAACATTAAACAGGTATTTAACCTGATAATGACCCTCAGAAAATAAAATTTCGCATAATTTATTAGGCACATTAATTAATTAACAATATTCACATAATTAATAGGCCCAAGCTAGAGAAACCAAACGGAACAATATATATATATATATCAGGGTTCTCCAAGAGCACTTATAGCCTGGCGGCCCGCCAGGCTATCGTCGAGCCCTGCCATCTAAAATGCACCCTCCATTCTAAATATCATAGCCCCCGGACTCCCCCTAGCACGCAAACCGCCTTCGGCGATTTGCAACTAGGACCGTAAAGGCAGAACCCGCCATGCTATAATGAAAAAGCTTGGAGAACCCTGTATATTCAAGAGTACATAATAGGAGAAGAGTACGACACCGTTTTAACAGCGTTTTGCATAGTTTTCAACTTGTAAATATTTTATCAATATGTGAATAAATATATTCAAACTTTACCTTGTTTTCGTCTATGATTCTCCCTTAATCATATGACACCACCAATTTACCTGAAAATCGTATGTGTTCTTCAAAAAAGTTCTTTGAATACGACACGGTTTCAAACAGTTTTCACAAATGGACGCATGTTTTCGGCCAACGTTTATTATGGGATTAGTGTTCTATTGTCTCTATCTTGTATCTTGGTTACAACCTGGTGCTGCTGCCGCATATCAAACTTTGGCCGAAAACATGCGTCCATTCGTGAAAACTGCGAAACCGTGTCGTATTCAAAGAACTTTTTTGAAGAACACATACGATTTTCAGGTAAATTGGTATGACGTATTATGTATTCTTGATATATATATTATACAGATTTCAGCAGATGATTGCACAGCTGTTTGCCTAATACACAACAGCACTATAGCTGTCTGCAGTGTCTCCAGCCAGCCATGTTACTTACGAAGAAGGGACACGCCTGTCACCATGATCCTTGAGAGAGGAAGGGCTGGTAGGGTGCTGCTGCTGAACCCTTCTCCTGTTGTCTGGGTACCCACCAGACCCAGCCTCAAGATTCCCACCATCTTTTCTGAAAACCCAATTACACATATGATACAAGGCACAAGCAGTTGTTGATATCAAACAAATTTTGTCCTCAAATCAGATATATTATAATACAACTAGTTCCATGCCATATTTCATTACACAGCCATAATGACGATATTTATATCGATAAAACACTATGAACATTCTCTAACCTATATGAAAATATATAAACAATAGAACTGTATCAAAAATATAACCTATATCTACAGGGATGTCTATGCAAAGAACTACTCGTTTTTTTTTAAACAGGAACATGCACTTGTCCATATTTTTATTCAAACCAAGCTTTAGCTTAGCTTACATTGACAGAGAAGGCCGCTCTCTCCCCCTATCTTGCCTACTTCTGGACTCCAATTGGGGACCCCTTGTTCCTCTTTCAAGACTTGCTCTCCTAAATACAATGTATAATTCAATATTAAATAACATGTGAAATCTCAATCGTATACTAAATGTAAGAGAGTTTCTCCATCACTTTTTAATGCCGGACCACCGCAGTGCTGTTATAACACTGATTCTACTAACATCACCACTGCATGATAAACACGATGAATGTGATAGGTTTTGGCAAGCAATGCTAATGTTGTTGTGTAATGCTCGTACAGACCTTCCTGGGACCCTTGAAGGTTTGCCTTGCTGCCTCTTTGCATCAGCAAACATTGACTTAGTATTCTCTGCACTGCAAAAAGTGAAAAAATATAATTAGCATAATTAAGAATCCCAAGAAATATTTTCTTCCTTTAACTATACTATAGACTTGCCTACTATCGTCGCTGCGGTGAATATACATTTATATTATAAATCAGATATGTTAACTAGAGCATTGGCCTTTTATAGTAAGCCTTTCTACGAATAATGGCACAACAAAGATCTTCTTCAGCTTACAGACAAGGAAGATCGGAAACAGGGTAAATTGACTAATGGTCTGCATACTTTGCGGTTCTCCTCGCACCACTATCAACAGTGGGTGGCTTGCTGTGCTGCTTAGCTGCTCCTAGGATGGGAGATCGTCGTGCCATCGGTCCTCTCCTGTCCGCGATATCCAGTGCTTGCCCTCTCCTGTCCACCATGTCCGGTCCCCCGCCTCGTCTATCCATCCTGTCATGTGCCGGCCCCCGTCTGTCCGCCATGTCCTGTCCTGTACCTCGTCTATCCATCCTCTCCTGTGCTGGACCTCTCCTGTCCACCATGTCCGGCCCTTGACCTCTCCTGTCCACCATGTCCGGCGCTTGTCCTCTCCTGTCCACCATGTCCGGCGCTTGACCTCTCCTGTCCACCATGTCCGGCGCTTGTTACACTCGTCCTGGTTCGTTTAGGCAAGCTTTTCAATTGACAAATAATCTTTAATTGCCAAAATTGGTATTTCCGTACTCCCTACCCTGCCGATAAAACGTCAATATTAAGAGTAAAAGTTTTACAAATACATGTCGGACCACCAGCATAACCATGATTTCGAAACCATCACTACAAAAGCGGGTATAGCGCGCATCTACCGTCACAAATTGTTGATTCATTTGGTTTATAATATTTAATTGGGATAATTACAGATGGAGCATATCGTTATCGATGTCGGATGGTGCTCAAGTAAAACTGACCATTACTTCTTACTCACTCCATTTTGTGTCTTTTTTGTTGGTGAGCTACAGTGTCATTGACAACTTTCATTTATATTTACTGTTTCTGTATTTTTCTATCTTTAATCCATTTAACTATTTTCCATTAATCGCAAAAATATTCACATGATT